TGGGAGCAGAGGAGTCGCGCCCTGCTGGTCACCACAGAGAGAGCAGCTTTATAACATGAAGCTTTGGAGTCTACCAGAGAGTCCCGCCCGGATCCAACATCCACCACAGAGTTTTTAGTCATGATGTCAGAGATACAGAGGAACTCTGTATCTGCAGAGTGTGTCCATGCTTTTTAATGTAAAAGACCCGTGCACTTCATCCTCCTCATATGCACGCTTCTGTGAGCGAGATGCGGAGACAATAAATATTGAAGGATCATCATTGTGTTTACAGCATCGCATGCAGGCACGCAGCCTCACATCTGGACAGCTTATTAGAATATCTAGAGGACACATATATATATATATATATATATATATATATATATATATATATATATCTCTTCTAGAGAGAGGGAGAGAGACCAAGCCGCCCGGAGCGCGACCTTGTCTCGTTCAGAAGCCAGAAGAGTGACCTACTTGATGCGCGTGCACGTGATCCAGAGTGCTCGGGTTAACTGTTACATTGAAGCCACAAAGTAGCCAGAAAGCTTATTCACAAAACGGTGCCTTGCCAGCAAAAATATCGTCCGATGAGAATCTGTTCAAAACTGTCAAAAGGTTCGACCCCCCCCTTACCCCCCCTCCTAACCCCCCCCTACTTCCTTCCCCCGTGAATTATCTCACCTGGGCAGCTTGCGTTATTATCCGCGGAGAAGGAGAAGAAGGAATCAGGAATCCATCCTCCGGAGGAGACGAAACTTGTCAAGTCGCGTAGTCGCTCACCGAACCTCCGCGGAGGACCGGGGAGAGGACCGGGCAGAGGACCGGGGAGAGGACCGGGCAGAGGACCGGAGCTCACCGGGAGTCCGCCGCTGCGCTCCGGTGCTCCTCCGGTTTAGCGGAGCTCAAATGATCCAACGCAGGAAACGATGCCGAGGTTCATGTGAGCTCAACGTGAGGTCTGTTCACTTCATCTCTCCCTCTCTCCCTCCCTCCCCTCCTCCCTCCCTCCCGGGATGCTCTCTGGGGAACACTGATTTGTAAATGTCTCTGGACTCTAATTGAATCTCGTACTGAGATCCGTCGCGTGGGTGCAGAGATCCGCGTGTGCGTAATCTGATGCGTGAACGTGTCCAGAGATCTGTGCACGAGTACGTGTGTGCGCGTGTGAGTAATCAGGTGGTAAAAAAGACTCATCTATGTTCTGAATTGTCGATGTGTCATCATATCTTCAAATCAGTGCACGAAGCCGTAAATGTCAACAGATAAATGATAGAAAACAATAAATGTGTATTTAACTCTGTAGATCTGTGAATGTGCATTTAAAACATAGAACAGGTGTGAACATGCAGAATGTTGATCTCAGGTCTCTCGCACAGTGGTGATATAATGGTGTTATAATGGTGTTATAATGGTGTTATAATGGTGTTGCAGTGGTGTTATAACTTACATTACACTTTAAACCCGTGGCTTTTTCACATTTTTGCCCGGGGAGCAATTAGGGGTCAGGTGTCTTGCTCAGGGACACTTCGACATGGAACGTGGGGCAGCCTGGAATCGAACCACCAACCTTGTGCTTCCCACCACGACGACCCTAATAATGGTGTTATAATGGTGATATAATGGTGTTGCAGTGGTGTTATAATGGTGTTGCAGTGGTGTTATAATGGTGATATAATGGTGATATAATGTCCTCCTGAAAGAGGACACACAACATGGATGCACTCTGAGAAATTACCTTGTGAGCTTTCCTCACACTCCACTCCAACCAGATGTCTGAATCAGAGCTTTTTGTTTGTAATCATCGCATTCACTTTTTCCCCGTGTTCAACACGTGAACGGTTTGAACCCCCCCCCTCCCTGCTTTGGTTTATCGTGCCCCCGAGGCGGTGCAGTGTTTTCTAATCTTTTTAAGTATAGCCGGCCTGATCTTTGCATTTTCAACAGTTGTTCCACTCAGAAGCTGGACCAGGAAATTACTCCTCAAGGAGATTCAGATATTGCATTTCACCAATGGAGACCCCCCCCGTCTTAAGCCGCCCCAGCTTCACCCACCCTGGATGGGACATTCCCCCCCGCTAGATTGAAAGCATGTTAATAGTTATTGGGGAAGGCCTGGGAGGGGGGAGATTACTGATCAATTTACGGTACATTTCCGTAATTTGGTCTCGAAATAAGTTTTGGCTTTCAAGTTTAACTTTAGTCATTTTGCATCTTGTCCGTGACAGAAAGTTCTTCTTACCGTGTCTGGAGAACCAAGTAGCATGAGATCTTTAGCCAATGTGTCTTTCTTCTACAAACCGACATCCCGTACTTACAATTCTTGTTTCCTCGCCCACATGTTTCGGGTATTTTTAGTTTGAAAAATGAAGCAGAGAGAGAGACGTGCTTTGAGCTCGACTCATCCACAGAGCGCCGCTTTGCTTTGCACATCGTTTCCTTGATCACCCGCGAGTTCCGTCTCCCCACGAAGAAACGAGGGGGGGGGGCTTTAAAGACCAACGCCGGCGAGACGCCCGCCGACTGACGCCCGCCGACTGACGCCCGCCGACTGACGCGACTAGAAAGCAAACTTCCCAGCATGCCCTGCTGTAGGTTTATCAACGGCGAGTCGAAGCCGAGCTGGAATCAATCCGCTCGGTCCAGAGCCCAGAGGGGCCCCCCAGCAGGTTTACGTGACAACAAGTGTTTGGTGTACGTTTAAAACAAAGCTGCGGCGCCGTGGTGCCAATCGGGTCTTCTCTTCTCGGTCGGTTCTCAGCCGAAGAAACCAAAGCAGCTGAAAAAGGGCCGACGCGAAGCCCCCAAACGCTCCTCAGCCTCGCAAGCTGCGATCCTCTCGTTTCCCATTTTGTTTGTTGTTTCCACCCCCCCCCCATACCCTCAATAACTGTGTCATTAATAAAACTTCTGAAGACGGGAATTATGGATGAGGTCGGGGAGGAAGGGAGGCTTTCCCCGCTCGCTCCCCCCAGCTGCAGTCAGTCACACGGCGCGAGTGTGAGCAGACAACTGGGCTCTCTTGATGTCGCGCTGGAGATGTGCCCGTGATTTATTTAACAAAGCGGGTACATACATGCAAATGCACACAAACGCCCACATATGGCATTCTGCAAAAATAAGCAACATCTGCGTGCAGAAAACAACAAACCTTTCTTTAACGGGGAAGCATAATTCATACCCTCATTCATCGGCCTCGAAAACTTTGCGGCGACGAGGTTCATAAAGAAGCACGGCTGAACAGGACGAACTGCTCTTTACCTTTTAAAACAATATCGCTTTGCAGAGTCATCGTCACAGAGATAATCAAGCCAACACTTCATTTACTACCAGGCTGCTCAGACAGAACCAAACGAGCAGCTTCAGCAAGATCACGTTCATCCCCTCGTCGATTTATTGACCCGTCACAGAAACCAATCAGTTTTCAACTCCTGGTTGCCAAACGGGTTCCGTCACGCAGGACGAGACCTCTGGGTTTCCTCTGGCTGTTTGCGCCGGTTGGTTCCCTCCGTCGGTGGGATTCAAATGACGCAGGAGTAGCTCATAATTATCTCCCATAATGTTTTCGCCGTCCAAACAGCAGCAGCAGCAGCGGAGTCCCGTTAAAAAACAAAACATCAGCCGTCTGCCGGATCGTTTCCCCCCCCCCCGTCCATTCGTTCAGCATCCGCACGCCACGGCGGTCACCTTCCCTGGCGTCCTTTCTCCCGGTAATACTCCTCTTTCAGATCCTCTCTCTTCCTGCGGGTCCATCCTTTGGAGGTGACGTGATAGACGTCCACGCAGTTCCCCGACCACGCGTCCCTGTGCGCGGCTCTGTACACGGCCTCCCTGGCTACGGACGTGGCCTCCTCCACCGTCAGCCCCCATCGGACCCCTTGGTCCAAAATGGAGTAGGCGTAGGGCGACCCCGAGCCGACGGAGAAGAGCGATCCTCTCAGGCGGGTGCCATCGCTGCACACGTACCACAGGCCGGGTCCGGAGGAGCTCGGAGAGGCCTTTTGGAGACCCCCCGACGTTCCGCCCAGGTCGGCGCTTGCGCCTCCACCCTCGCCCGCCTCCCCTCCGTCCCACCCGCACAAGGTGGCGGCCACGCACAGCTCCGTCCCCTTGAACGGGTGGAGCATGCAGGCGAGCAGCTTGGCCGCCCCGCTGGTGGACAGGCGGCGGCCGTGGCGCAGCTGGTAGAGCCGCAGCTCCCGGGACAGGATGCGCTTCCACAGGGCGCAGTCGGCCGAGGTGCCCGACGTGGTGCCCACCAGGTGGCTGTGGATGGGCCGGATCTTCTGCGAGGCCGGGCACGCCACGAGGCCCGAGCAGCTGGAGCGAGTGTCCGCCGCCGCCAGCACGCCGCCCTGGAACAGGAAGGCCAGGGTGGTGGTGCCGTGAGACATGGGGAAGGGAAGGGGGACGGTCTGGGAGGCGGCCGGGGGGAGACCCGCGGGCCCGCAGGGGGGCTGCAGGACGGATTCTTGTGAAGAGGCGGGGCGGATCTGTCCAAACCGGATCGGGCTTTCGTCCAAGTATTCTGCAACGGGTACGTAAAAGCTAAACTGGCGTGAGGCGTTGCCAAAGGAAGAGCCGCGCACATGGTCACAACCAGTGTTGTTCCCAGAAAGCTGCCGAGAGCATCCGGGGGTTAAACGGTCCGCTGGGACGTCCCGGAGGTCGCACAGCTCCTGTAAAGCCATTTTGTAGAAAAGAAACTCCTCTCTGCTGAAGTATTCGTCTGTGTTTCTCGACTTTGGCAGCTTTTATAGACGCCGAGGCGGCGAGGTCATCCGAAAAACAAACCCCCTAGCAACCGTTACCGAGGCCTCCGCTCCCTCCCACTTTGCCGCACAAAGAGGCCACGGGTAATTAATTCGGGCTTCCATATCAGGTGTCTTTCCTTAAATCATATTTCTTGGGCGGAGGCCAAAGAGTGACCTGGGTGCAGGCGGGGCCTCGGATGGAGCACGCCGCCCCCCCCCCGAAACCAGAGGACCACATGTTCACGACGTCTCTCCAGCCAAAAGCCCCATCGTGCAAACTGCTAAACTCGCAACTGAAATTCACACACACGGCCAGACATTAGCGTGTTCAGACATTAGCGTGTTCAGACATTAGCGTGTTCAGACATTAGCGTGTTCAGACATTAGCGTGTTCAGACATTAGCGTGTTCAGACATTAGCGCGTGCACGTTACTGGCTTGTGGAATCCGCCGATAACAAACTCAAGGATTACTGAAGTCGTTTAAAGGCCCCTTGAATCGAGTGTGTTACCTGCTGTCCTTAACCGAGCTCTCTGAAGACACCAGGACCACAGAGAGCCTTCACCTCTTCAGACTCTACCTCCACTAAAGACTAACAAATTGTAGCACTTAAATTGTACTTGTAACGTCACTCATCTATAGCAAATTGTAAATTGGCTTATTTGAGGAAATTGCACTTTCTTGTTTCTTGCTCTCCTGAGTTTGTGTCCTATGGTTGAATGCACTTATTGTACGTCGCTTTGGATAAAAGCGTCCGCTAAATGACATGTAAGGTAATGTAATGTAATAAGAAGCTCATCTGTTTGCCTCGGGGGGACGTCGCGGAGGAGGTGGGGGGGTGTCCGAAGTGGACCAGTCTTTCTCTCACCCATATTGTCCTTTTAAGTGTCCCCTTTCTGAAGGCGACCCTTTGGTCCGCTGTGTCTGCGTCCCACCATGAAGTTTGTATATAAGTACGTACACGTAATGGAACCCTGACGCGGCTCGCTGGCTCGCGTTGCCGTCAGCAGATTGACGGGCCACAGGTCACTGATCGTTTCCCTTTCAGTTGGGACAACATTCGCCGTCTGCTTCTCCTCCTCTGTCATCGCGGCTTCTTAGGAGCCTCACAAAGCCTCTTCACCGGAGCATGTGAGCTTTTTATTCCCGGTCAGTGGAGGACAGAGGGCTGGTTTTTAGCACACGCAGAGCGGCGCTTTGAATTCAACCCCGCGGAGGAGGCCCCCCCCCCCCCCGTGAGGTCGTCACCTTACCCGCGTGGATCTACCTGCCGCGGCGGCGTGGGGAGAAGAAGCTGCTCGAGGCACCTCGCACACACACGGGGAGGGCCGCCGACGCCCGATGATCGAGAGCCGTGGTGTGTTTGTGTTTGTGCGACTCCGGGAACAGGCTGCGTTATGTATTGTTAAAGAGCTCTGGGCCCCCCGCGGTGAAATGTACGACTGTCATATCTCCTGTGGGGGGAGGGGGGGGCGTCGTAATTCAGACAAGCGTGACAACGGGCGAAGATAAAGCTCTCCGAGGCGCCGTGGAGTCGCCCCGCTGGGGGAGGATTAGATTGGACCGCTGCAGACTGGACGCCAGGGCATGAAATAAAAAAAAGGTGTGTGCCCCCCGGCTGGTGGGATAAGAAAAGTAAAGTAAGATACAGCTCAGGGCAGCCCCCCGGCCCCCCCCCCGGTCCCTGTCTGTTTGGTTTGGCGGCCCCTCGCCTGCGTGGTGTTTGAATCCTTTCCCGAGCAGATTTAACTTCCTGATGGTGTCTCTCCAGCTGGGGGACTCCGGGGCGGCGGCGGCGGCGCGCTGCAATTTGCAGTCGTTCACGGCCGAGTGGGTTCCTCCCCTTTTCTGCGTCGTGAGCTCATGCATTATTATGATGATGATGATGTCTGACTCGCAGGTGCAGCCGGAGACGACGTGGTGCGATGGAACCAGCAGACATGGATACGAGAAGAAGGTTTCATGGATGCAGCAGATCCTCTTTGTGGAAAGATGAGGATCATTAGAACCAGTTTTTGGTGGGGTCGGGGGGTCGCGGGGCATGTTGGGCCTTTATGCCACCGTCTGGCATTAGTTCTGTTTTACATAACCGTGTTGGAATGAGCAGCTTAGCGTGTCACAGGTGGAAACCCCCCCCGGGGGCCGACGTTGCAGGAGCTGGATGGCAAAGCGCATCAGGAGTGTCAGGGAGTGAAAGCGATGAAACGAGCTTTTCTCCCGGATGCTAACGGGGAGTCACGACGCCACAGGTGAGCTAGGGTGAGGCCTTTAAAGCTCCTATTCCACAGCGACGCGTCTAAATGAGATGAAACCCGCTGCTCTTATTTTAAACTGGTTTCTGATGATGGCACGACAATCTGGATTCAACCTTAATTAAAGGTTTCTTAATTAGCTTCTTCCGATAAGCGTCCTGAGGGGTCCTGAGGGGTCCTGTAGGACGTGTTCTGCCAGAGGGAGACGGTCTTTTATTCATTTCTGAGGGTGAAATCTGTTCTGATGAGTTGGAAGCGTCACGATGCAGCGAGTGTCTGGATCACAATCCCACAAACCACTTCCATTGGGTTGTTTGCTTGTGCTGACGGCTCTCTTAATGAAATCGGATCAACCCACACCCACCCCGTCCTGATGGAGCATCGGGCGTTAATGGTTAGCTCATCAGCTGCGCTGACGGCTCGTTATTCTGAAAGCACAATAATCCATAAAATGGCTCCTCGGGCTGAAAGCCACGGCTCTTTATCTGGGGAAGAAATGCCGCCTGCTCCGAAGATACAAACTCAGGTTCTTCAGAGTGATGCCAAAGCATCGTGTGTTGAAGCTGCATTCTCTGCAGTGACCAGCAGGGGCGACTCCTCTGCTCCCATAGACGTCTATGAGGAAATGACTCTACTTCTCTGCAGTGACCAGCAGGGGGCGACTCCTCTGCTCCCATAGACGTCTATGAGGAAATGACTCTACTTCTCTGTAGTGACCAGCAGGGGGCGACTCCTCTGCTCCCATAGACGTCTATGAGGAAATGACTCTACTTCTCTGTAGTGACCAGCAGGGGGCGACTCCTCTGCTCCCATAGACGTCTATGAGGAAATGACTCTACTTCTCTGCAGTGACCAGCAGGGGGCGACTCCTCTGCTCCCATAGACGTCTATGAGGAAATGACTCTACTTCTCTGTAGTGACCAGCAGAGGGCGACTCCTCTGCTCCCATAGACGTCTATGAGGAAATGACTCTACTTCTCTGTAGTGACCAGCAGGGGGCGACTCCTCTGCTCCCATAGACGTCTATGAGGAAATGACTCTACTTCTCTGTAGTGACCAGCAGGGGGCGACTCCACAAACCATAAATCAGGGGATGCTTTAGGGCGGGGCTACACACTGATTGACAGGTAGCAGCTTACCTGTTGGTCTTTCCTCCGGCTTCTGAGGACCACTATCGAGCTTCCTGCCTCGTGTGTGCTCAGACTCAGAGGACTACGTGCGTCTCGAGAAGAAGAAGATCCGTTTCTCGGTGCATTGATCGAGGCGTTGGTCGATCCCCACCTTCCACCCACGCTGCCATCGATCCCGCGGGAGGTGTCTCCAGTTCTGAGCCACGTCCCCTCGGGTTGGCGTGGGGGTGGGCGGGCGCTCTGATTGACTCTTACTGGTTTTATCGGTTGGCGTAGTTCTCAGCAAAGTGTGCAATCGGCCCATCGGCTTCCTCCAATAACGTATTTACAGCAATATTTGCACACAACGATATTGATAATAAGTGAGTCTGGCATCAACATCCCACTTCTCTTTATAAGTATCCCTTTTAAACATACGTGATACTTTAGAAAAGCTGTACTTCACATTTCTATTAGATATTATGATTGTATTTATTCAGCTGTAAAATGTTCTTTCATCAAAATGGAGAAAGAGACGGGAAAACAAATCCATCATTTTCGTTAAAAGCATCCAGAAGTTAATGAAAACATATTTTATCAGGTAGTATTTGGTGGTTCAGGCAGATTTGGGTCGACCTTGAATCAGAAGATTGGCGGTTCGATCGTCGGCTCCTCCGGTGCACATTTTCTAAAGTGACCCTATGAGCGAAGCTCTGAACCCCAAACTCCCCCCGGAAGGGTGGTGCCGTCATTTGGAGCCTCCATCACTGTATGAATGAATCATGGTAACATGGTAACACACTTCAGGGCTGTATAGGAGCGTTTTTTGTTACTTGATGTAAAAGACATTTGTGAGTGAGTCTCCATTGGTTCCGCTCCTCAGATGAGTGGAGACGGAGGAGACGGAGGAGACGGAGGAGCAGCTCTGCTTCGGGTCCAGATGGCTAAAGCCTTGAGGAGTCAGAACGCAGCGCAGCTACTTTTGGTACAGTAAAAAAACTCTTACACTTTATTATTATCCTCCTTTGATAATTTGATCTACCTTCAATTATTGAAACGTGTGAAAATGCTAATTGGACGGTCGTCGTGAATAAGACATTACCGACACTAAAGGCTGCTATTTTGAGAAAGAAAACGTGATAATTTATTTAAGTTTGTTCTTCTCATTCCTCTGTAGACATACGCGTCTCTTCTTTCTGTCATTGTCTCTGCCGAGCGTCTCGCTTGCACCACCTGGACGTCTCCACCACAAGGTGGCACCACGTCACCGGATGTTGATTTGATTTTCTTACAACTTCTTGGTTGCACATTGAGAAATCTACTTTCCTACATGCACTCAACCTGCAAATGATGACAAAAACAAGCAGTGGGTTTCTGGGCGGTGGACGTTTGCACCCGGGGGCCTCCGGTCCCGTCAGCCGAGATGGCGTCAGGGAAGGAGCCCGAGGAGCCAGCGGAGCAACGGGGCAATCCCAGAGGCGAGCGGCGTGACCGCGGCCCCGTGGGCTCCTCGCCGGGGGAAACACATTTAGGGGGACGAGGTGCAGCTTCGGAGGCGAGCGAGCTGTGGGAATCGGGAGGAGGGAAGAGCTGAGATGCTTCCTCGGT